TGTGCATGAGAAAGAGAGAAGAGAAATAGAAGAGGGCGAGAAAGGAGCAGAGAGTGCAATGGGAGCGGGGAATAGCGGCAACAGATACATAGACAAATTGCACTAGAGAATAAAAAACATTGCGTGGAACGATGCTGTGTCAATGAGCTATGCACCCGTCTACCTGTAACACACTCGCGTATGATCGTTGATTCTATAGATAAACATTCGACAATTTCGCACGTGAATATAAAAGCGTTTTGCTAGACTTTCACGAGGTTTTTTCATGTTTTGACTAACCATCTCTCAACTCTTTACTCGGAATCTCTACGCCCGTCTGTTTATCCTCATTAGTCATGTAAACCGCAAAAAGATAAATGCCGATATTATTACATTCGGCCGCACACGCTTTAGAGAAAAAATGGGGTGTGGCGTTCAAAAGCCGTGTCTGCGTTTACGCGAAACCAATTAATCTAATTAAATTTTGAACGAAACTTCAAATGCGCTGGTATTTTCGTCAGCAGTACAATCGTTACAGTGTGTGATATATTACTGTAAGATTTCTATAACGTGTATATATTAATGAGACATCGTTAGCCACTCGTGGACGAGTTGAGATAATGTGTGTATATACGAACAAACATATTTGATCGTTGTTATTTTGCTGCTGGTTACTAAATCGCTCATTTTCCTGAGTGCATTTTTGATTCGACTATCAATAACAACTCTGATAGTATAGTTCACACACAGCTCACCCAACACACGTCGCGGCAGGCGCAACTAGAAACTCGCACGGTACGCACACAACGCAACGCACACGCACACACGTTCGCATACACGCGCACACACGCCCACGAGCACGCACACACAACGTACGCACACTACGCACGCACCGCACACGCCCACGTGACGCGCACTACGCACACACGCACGGACCACACGCAACGCACACACGTACGCCACACGCGTTTTTAACGTACCGCACGTACACACACACACATGTACGCACACACGCACGCGCACACGCGAGTGTGCACACACACGCTAACACACACACGCACGCACACACATTCACACACACACACACACATACACACACACACACACACACACACACACACACACACACACACACACACACACGTAGGCACACCACACATCACACACACACACACACACACCACCACAAGAGAGAGAGAGAGAGAGAGAGAGAGAGAGAGAGAGAGAGAGAGAGAGAGAGTGCGTGTGAGAGAAGATAGAGATAAAGATAAAGAGCGGGAGAATGGGGAGGGGGCGGGGACAAAAAGAGAGACAGTAAGAGCGGCAGACAGAGAGAGAAAAGAGAGAGTGGACTCAGTGGAGGGAGGGAGTGGATAAAAATGACGTGAAAGAAAATATGTTCATACAAACGCGCGCGAACCAGGCGTATGGGCCGAGAAGAGAATAGACATAGATATGCTGAGGCTGTGTATAGCAGCTGGCATCCCACTCGTCGATGCACCTGAATAATGACGCTTTCCGTCGTGCAGCCCCCGAGGTGGACAACGATACCAAAATATTGTCTTTCTTCGGCTGTTTGTGCTCGCGGTGCTTCATCGTGTCGCCGTGCATAATACGAGCGTGTGCGCCTAATGAGAAACGTCGATGGGGCATTCATCGAAGCTAAACCTGAGTAACAATGACCCATACATCGATCTAACGTGAATGGGGCATTCATCGAAGCTAAATCTGAGTAACAATGACCCATACATCGATCGCCGCGTGGCACGGCGTAGGAAATTGAAACTCCATTATAACGCCACCTCTCTAAGGCATCGTATGAGAGCCGCAGCTAGTATAGCGATCAGCATCAGCTTGATCATGGAGCGCCGGCGGTCGTTGACGTCAGCGTATGTGGGTTATGTGCACAAGCAAGAAACTCGGCAGTATATCTCTGCTCGCATCCGTGCCACCAGGCATCAGCTCGATCGCTGCCGGTTGCCGTCGCAACGGCTGATATTGATGATTTCCTACAGCAGGCGATCTGCAGCCGGAATAACAGACGGAGGCGTGCATGGCTTCGACCGGCATATACCTCTAGCCCCGTGAAGTCCATGGCTAGTCATCGCCATTCGTTCTTTTGCCGTCACTCCCTCTGCCACGTTTTACGCAAAAACACGTTCTTTTGCCGTCACTCTCTCTGCCACGTTTTTACGCAAAAACACGTTCTTTTTCCGTCACTCCCTATGCGACGTTTTTACGCAAAAACACGTTCTTTTGCCGTCACTCCCTCTGCCACGTTTTTACGCAAAAACACGTTCTTTTGCCGTCACTCCTTCCGCTTTACATACCGCTCAGCATGAAATGACGACGTATCCACTAACGCGAGCGCACCGTCATTCCCTTTCCCTCACCACTCTCTCTCTCGCTCTCTCTCTCTCTCTCTCTCTCTCTCTCTCTCTCTCTCTCTCTCTCTCTCTCTCTCTCTCTCTC